GTGTGTGTGTGTGTGTGTGTGTGTGTGTGTGTGTATGGGGTAGTGCGAATGTGGAAATAGAGAACTTTCAGGAGTTAGCTTTATTCACTATGGGTTCTGGGCAGGCATCCCTGTACTCAAGGTTACGTGGGCAAGTCTTTCGCCCACTGAACCATCTTGCCAGCCAATGCCTGATACCTTTTATCACAGCTCCAATAAGAAGTTTCCAGGTCTCTTTTGAACCACTTCAGAAGGGGCAGTCTTTTTTATTTTTGTTCTTTGCCGTCATCCTCTTTATGATGACTTATTGTGTGACAACTGTGTGCTGCTCACCTTGTGCAAAGTCTAGTACCACTAGGGCTGGGAACATGGCTCAGTTGGTAAAGTGTTTGCTGGGCAAGCATAAGTTCAGATCCCCAGCACCCACCTCAAAGCTAGGTATCCAACTATAACCCCAGCACTGGGGGTGGGGAGTGGAGACAGAAGAATCCCTGGAGCTCCTTGGCCAGTCAGTCTAGCCAGTAGGTGAGAGAACCTGTTTCAAATCATTAGGTGGAGAGCTATTGAGGAAGACACCCATGGTTGACCTCTGGCCTCCATACATACACATGCATATGCACATACCCACACAAACCAATGAATATATGCCACACATGTATAAACATATTAAAATAAAGACATATAGAATTTCTTTATATTAAATGAAAATAAACATTTCCTTTGAGACAGGGTCTCATGTAGCCCAGGCCAGCCTCAAACTTGCCATGTAGCCCAAGATGACCTTGAACTTCTGATTCTCTTGCCTCAAATGCCTGAGTCCTGGGATTACACGCTTATGCAACCAAGTCTAGTTTATGAGAAACTAGGGATTGAACTCAGGGCTTTGTGCATGCTAGGCAACCACTCCACCAGCTGAGCTACATCCCCAGCTCAAAATGTACTTTTACTTTTCTGCCTTCGTTCTGTCTTCTTAGATACCTTTCTCTCTCTAATTCCCATGTAAGCCTTGGGGTTGGAGAGTTAGCTGATTAGTTTAACAGCGAATTCTTTGGTGCTGCACCTGTGTACTATGGCGCCCACCTCCCCCCACCCATCCCCCAGCTTCCTGGTTTCTTTGCTATTAAGCAAAATTTCCCCAGTTCTACATGACTAAGGACAAATTATCAGTGACTTAGTGCAGGCATAGCAGGGGTCCAAAGTGTGAATTCCAAAGGGCTCTCCAAATCTATATTCAAAAGATAAAGCCCCCCCCTTATAGGTTTGTGTACACTGAAGATAAAGCCCTATCAATGCTTTGTAATTTCAAAGGTAGGGAGATACTGTGCAGAGGAAGTGCTGATAGTTAACAGAGTTCCCATTCTACACAAAGCATATTTTCACCATTGCTTGGTGTGTCTTACTGGTGGTACCTGCCATCAGGTAAAGTAATAGTTAACAGCTTTCTCTCTGGCTCCACTCTGGGTGGGGACTGCCACCTCAGGAATGAAGGCAAGAAAGGGGTTGATTTCATGTTAGTGACTGTTGGTTAAGAGTTCATGCTTTATAGCCAGATAGCCTGAATCGGTCAAAGCTCTATTTACCTCACATCCTAGACTAGTTATTTTACTTATTGTTAGGTGAATTACACATGAATCAAAGAACTGAATTCTTTGTATAGTTCTATGTTTTGACTCTTCACTCTACATCTTCATCTTTCTCAGGGGTGCAGAGTGGCTGTTGTCCTGCCAAGCACTGGGTGTATGTTCTGGAGGAGGAAGATGGCAGCTAGCTCCCTTTTTTGTGTTAAGTCCATCAAGAACAAAAATTTCTGTCCCTGAACTTGACTTCTATGATTACACTTAAATACAAAAAGTCAAGAAAGCACATTTGCTGACCTCTGCAATGGGAAGAAAATTGGAAGAGGGGTGGAAAGTGGAAAGACGTTGGTTCTGGCGAACCTGTAGGATCTGGAATATCAAATTCCAGTAAGTAGCAGGGACAGAGTTCTTCCAGAGAAAAAGTCCAGCAGTTTTCTACTGAGGGAATTGGAAAGTCATGAAGGACCACCAAGAATTGGAGTAAAATTATCTTTTTGTTTTATATTAAAGGAAAGCTAAGCGAAAAATTATGTGATTACCTGAGTCATGAACAGCCCTCATCCAGCTCTTCAGTTTAATAGCAAGTAGTCTGTTTCTATAAAGATGACTAAACCAGCTGAAGATGGCCCTTCTTAGGAAAGTGTACAGCTCAGATCTAAGTTGACACTGAAACACATAACTTACACTAGGCTGTGCAAGTACACCTGAACGTTGCTCCCTGGAACATCTTCTATTTAATCGCATAGTTTATGTTTATTCAGCCAGCTCACCTTTCAGGAAGGTGAGTGGGCATTGTCAGCATCCCTAGTTTTGTGTATGAAGCAGGTGTATAAAGTCAATATGTGAGCCAAGGATATTTAATGTGTAGTCCACAGCTACAACCCATTGAATGGGTGTCCGTATGTTTCTGAAGTCACATGGCATCAGAATTTGGGAAGTCTAGGTTCATCGTCATTGTATCCCTGACAGAGACTGAGACGGGCAGAGAGCCACTTATCTGCCAGGGGTCAAAGCAGGGTTACTGCTAACACAAAAACTCAGATGTTTTTACTTTTGACTCAGAAAAATGCTCTAGACACAGCAAAGGCTGCCAAATGGAATCTCAAGGAAAATTGCTTTTGTTTCTCTGAGTTGGTTTCATCATCCGTAAGATGAGACTGATAGTACCCAATTCATGGGGTTAGCTGAAAAATTGAATAAAATTTTTGAGGTAAATTGGATAAAACAGTGACCAACTTAGCCCTGTGGCAAATGATAAATATTTTTACTATTCATTTCCTTTGACCACCATGATCCTTGGCATTATTTTTATCAGTACTGTCTGGCTACCAGTGCATAGATTATATAGACTTCTATTTTTGCCTCTTGAATTATTCTAGGGATATGTGGAACTGAAATTTATTATCTTTTATTGCTTTAGTTTAAATTTTTTATTGACTTAATGCATTTTATTTCTATTGCATTTACATATTTATATTTGCTTTATGACTGCACTTCAAGAAATGTAATACCGTTTGAATTGTATGAGTCCGAATATGTACCGATTAACATTTATTTGGGAAGCAGCGAGATGGCTCAGCAGGAGAGGCACCTCGGCTCAAGCCTCACAAGGAATTTGATCTCCAGAACCTATTAAAGGTGGAAGGAGAAAACCAACTCCACAAAATTAGTGTCCTCTGACCTCCAAATGCATGCCATGGAAAGCCCTCTCACACACATACATATCACAGCACACAGAGACACAACACAGTAATAATACATTTTTAAAAATTAAACAGTTTTTTATCCGGGAACACTGTGTATCTGGCGTGGTCCCGTGGGTTCTGAGCTGTGTAGTCTAGGCGTTCTGTTTGCCTGAGAAGTTGGTAGGCTTCCCTTTCCTTAGGTCTAGAAGGCAGAAGCTGTCAGGGATTGGAACAGAGTGAGCCACAAAGCAAATTGTTCTTTTAAATGTATGGCACATGGGAATTACATTCAGAAGTATAAAGCTCCCTGTAGCGCAATTGCTATTTTTGCAAGCTACAGAATAGAGGAAGAAGGTAAGGGCAAGACAAGAGGGTTCAGAAAACCTGTAGTGTATGTCCGCCCAAGTTCAAGTTTTTGGGTGTGCTGGCCCAGGCAGCCCAGCAGGTTTCCAGGGGAGAACAAAGGGAGAAAGATACCCTAAGAGACATCAGCATTCCCTTACACACACACAACACATGCACACACACACACACACACACTCAGTTATTGTTGTTCTCAAAACTTCCAATCCAGGAGAATATTGTCATGGGATGGAGACTTTTTTTTTTATAAAGTTTTTAAAAATATTTTTTATTTATGTTTTATGTGTATGCCTGTATTGCCTGCATGTAAGTAAGTGCACCTGTGTCTTGCAATGCTTTTGGAGGACAGAAGAGGCTGTCAGATCTCCTGGGACTGGAGTTATGGACAGTTGTTAGCTGCCATGTAGGTGCTGGGATTCAAACCTGGGTCTTCTGTGAGAACAACCAATGTTCTTAACTGCCGAGCCATCTCTTCGGCCCCAAGGGATGGAGACTTTTAAAATCCCTTAGTATTTGTGAGCCTCTGCTCTGTGCCAGGCTCTGAATAATTGCTATTTTCTTTTTTAATTTTTTTATTTTTGAGACAGTGTCATGTATTCACACTGGTCTCAAAGTCTCTGTATAACAGCCAAAAAGACCTTAAATTTGTGATCCTCTTGCCTTTACCTTCTGAGTGCTGGGATTCCAGGAAACAAACACATCAGGTTTTATGTTATGCTGAGGATCCAACCCAGGGCTCTGTGCATGCTGGGCAAGCTCTCTACCAACTGAGTCACGTCCCCATCCTTTTCTATTTTTAAATTATATTTATTTGTTTACTTTGTATGTTTGTTGGAGTGGGGAGGGAAATCCCCATATAGATGCTGGAGGACAACTTCAGGGAGTCAGTTCTCTCCTTCCACCATGTAGGTCCTGGGGCTCAAACTCAGGTCTTCGGGGTTGGTGGGCAGGCACCTTTACTTACTGAGGCAACCCTCGGGGTTGGTGGGCAGGCACCTTTACTTACTGAGGCAACCCTTTTCTTTTAGTATTTTCTCCTCACAGGGTAAGATGCACTGTTTCCTTTCCTTCTTTGAATCTTCAACAGAAAGGCATGCTTTTGACCATACATCAGAACTCTCTTCCCACTTCAGAACTGTGACAAGAGCAACCTGGTGCCCTGTTTATATTTGCTCAGGAACTTGCAAACAAATTGTATTTGTTGAGCTCTTGGCTCAACATTTCAACCCCATCATCTGTACCTTTCACATTCCACTTTTCTGATGCTGTTTTATGTTCCTGCAGTTGTCTTGCTTCCTTCCCTTTCATCTGCTTTGAATTTATGTTGATTCTTAAAACCTTTCTGAAACGAAGCAGTGAGTACATAAACAAGTAGTTTTGTTTTGTTTTCAAACAGAAATCGACTTAAAGCCTCCAGAGAAGTAGAATCTGTAGACCTTCCAAACTGCCACCTGATTAAAGGAATTGGTACGTATGAGAATGCTTTCTGTCCACGTTGCATTACAGTGCTAGCTGGCGTGCACTTGCTGTCATTCAGGAATTATTAATACATCTCATCAGATCAGCAGGGAGCTAGCTCTCTGGTCCATTCCTTTTGATCTTAGGCTTTCTGAAACTCTTCTTTCCTAGGCTTACTGTAATTTATTGTCTAATCCTATCTTGTTTGATTTCTGGCAAACTTAGAGACTTCTGTGAATTATGTCTACATAGTTTTTATCCCTTGTATACCCCCCGTAGGCTGTGTAGTCTGTGTTCTGATATCCCAGTGGTCACCCAGTGATGGGAAGTTGGAAGGAAGCGATGTTACATGTAGACAAGAATAGTTTCTATTTTGCTCTCCACTCTGTAACCAGTATCTGCTCTTATCCCTAAAGGATAAATTGATGCTTCATGATATGTATTTAAAAGAACAGCAAACTCTCCTAATTTTTATTTTCTTAGCTATGATTATAGAGGGGAGAGCAAGTAGCTGGGTGACCCTCCCCCACTGACTCTATGCAGGATGTGCCATAGTGCCTGCATCTTAGGAGTAGCTCCTTAGAGCAAGCCTAGATCTGCAGCAGACAGTGAGAGACCTGCACAGAGATGGAGGGCCTCTCCACTATCTAGTTTCTTCCAGGGCAGAGTCCCTATCTTGGTTTTCACCTTTGCCATTTACCAAAACCCCTAGCGTTTTTTTTTTTCTTTTTAAGTGTGTGTGAATGTATTGCCTGCGTGTATGAAAGTACACCCATGCCATGCAATGCCCGCAGAGGACAGAAGAGTGCGTTGGATTCCCTGGAACTGGAGCTACAAATGGTTGCTAGCTGCTGTGTGGGTGCTGGGATTCAAACCTGGGTCTTTTGCAAGAACAGCCAGTGCTCTTAACCGCTGATCCATCTCTCCAGCCCTACGATATCAGATGTCAAAGCACCTTGGTTCTCATTCTGGTCCTGTTACACACTTGCAGCATGAGCTTGTGTAAAGTTTGACTATCTTCTTAGTCACCTGTAATGGTGAGTTTGTGATTTAGGCTGGAGGTTTTTAGATTTTAAAACTCTTGTGCCATGTCTTTAGAATACACCGAGAACCATAGCGTGGCAATAACTAACATCATGTTCCTTCTGATCTTTATAGAACAGTATCTGGACATGGGAGAGACAGCTGAATTTTGGGTTGTTTTAGCAAATTAAAATCTAGATTGCATACCGGGCATGGTGGCTCATGTCTTCAATCACAGCACTTGGGAGGCAGAGGCAGGCAGATCTCTGTGAGTTCAAGGCCAGCCTGGTCTACATAGTGAGTTCTAGGCCAGCTGGGGCTACAGGGAGACCCTGTCTCAAAAAGATAAAAAAAAAAATCTAGATTGCATGGAAGTGTCCTACTCTTCTTAATCAGAAGCATGGTTAAGTTTTTAATGTCTTTCTGTATCTTTTCTGTCTCCTTAGGATCATGTTCACACGTAGAATTTTTGAAAACATAAATAAGGTGAAATTATACATAGTAATTTAGAACCAGTGTTTTTCACTTAATACTATGTGTTGTCCACTTCTATCTGCATAGTTCTGTCTGTGCAAAGTTCATTTAAACATTATGTGGTCAAACAGTGTAGAAAGATCTAAAATGGCAATTAAAAAAAACTCTAACAAACTCTCCGTTTCATCATAGAAATAACTCCAGAGATGAAGTCTCTTCTTTGTTTTCTCTGACATAGTCAGTGCATATGCAGACAAAATACACATAGGAATGCATGGCTGTTCTCACAAATGGTATCTGAGTGAGCTGTTTCACTTCCTGCTTCATTCCTGAACAGTGTGAGCAATTCTTCTTGGCACATGTATATCTACTTCGTGTGTGCATTTGTGTGTGTGCGCGCGCGCAGGTGCATGTGTATGTGCGTGCACATGTCTGTGGAGGCCAGAGGACAGACTCCACTGTTGTTCCTCAGGAGCCATCCAGCTTGGGCTTTGTTTTGCTTTGAGATAGACTAGCCCAGGGATTTACCTCTGTCCACTTTAACAATGCCGGGATTGCAGGCACACACCATGCCCAGCTTTTTTTACATAGGTTCTGGGCCATCAAATTAAGTTCCTCATGCTTATAAGGTAAACTCTTTGGCAACTGAGCCAACACCTCAATCCTACCTCTGTGTTTTTTACATTTCCATGTTTTGTGATGATTTTATGCAGTCTCCATTTAATGCATACTTGGGCAATTTATAAGACTTTTTAATGTTTCATAAAAATTATTTGTAGTAAAATACATGTAATATAAAGGTTATCATTTTAACCATGTTAAGTGTACAATTCAGAATGTTAAGTATATTCCCATTATTAGGACTGATTTACTCTGTAGGCCAGGCTGGCCTGGAACTCACTATATAGCTTAGGCTGGCCTTGAACTCATAGCAAGCCTTGTGCCTCTGCCTCCTAAGTGCTGGGAATATAAGTGTGATTTACAATGCCTGACTTCAAGGCTAAATAATTCCATTTGGGTTGTAAATTACAGTCTCTGACCTTGTAATTTCCTGTCCAGATTATTCATTTTATAGCATTTCCCAGCGGAATCTCATCTCAGTTTTATTATTTGGCAAAGTAATTCCACAGGTTGTTTCAGAAGTCAAAAATATCCAGGCTCAGGGCTGGAGAGATGGCTCAGCGGTTAAGAGCACTGATTGCTCTTGCAGAAAACCCAAGTTTGATTCCCAGCACCCACATGGTAACTACAAACTGTCCTTAACTCCAGTTCCAGGGGAATCCAACGCCCTCTTCTGAGGCATAGCTCCTCCGTGGTATTGCATGACATGGGTGTACTCACATACATGTAGGCAATACATTCATACACATATATATAATACCCAGGCTCTTTGTTTTGACTGAGGTCCCTGATATTTTAAAACTGAAGCAATGTCTCATATAGGCTAGGCACACCCTGTTGCCAGGGCAGAGGTTAAAGGCTTTGACATTTTAATGATGCTTTCCATCCGATTACAGAAACAGCTAGAAATAAATTATAGTAAGTGGAAACATGAACTACTATGTGACTGTTGCCTCAAGAAAAGTTCTTTTTTTTATTTGTTTTGGGGTTTTATTTGGCTGGTTTTGTTTGTGAGAGAGTGTGGAAGATGGGAGACAAGAGGAGGAGAGGAGAGATGAAGAAAGGAGAGGAAAAAAATGGAGGAAGAGAAAGACAAATGTGTGATGAAAGCTTAAATTGGGAAAACAGACAACTGGTCAACCTCCCAACCTACTCAAGGGAAGTTCTGCACAAGATTTCCACTGCAGTGCTTCTACACTAAAGATATAAAGCTGCCCCTCCAAACAATTATACCACAATCCTAAATACTTACATGAATTAAATTTACCTCTTACCAGCAGAAAGTATGCAGTATACTTGTACTAAAGCTAGCTAATTATACAGTTTACAAAACCACACATTAACTTATAATATTCTATAAATAGTAAGATCTAGTAATGGAACACAAACTTAAAGTAATATACTAATTTGTTCCTGCCTGGTCAGTGTACCTGAGGAGCAGCAAATGAAATCGTCTTTGGTAATTATATAAAACATCTAGATTTCAGATTCCTTTCCTTTTTTAACGTATATTTTTTGAAAGATAAATGCTTATGCTTTGGGGGGGCATGGTATTATAATTTGATACATGTATCAATCTGTAATGATCAAATCAAGTGATTAGGATATCCATGTCCATAAACATTATTATTTCATACTGCTGAATACCTTCAAACTTTTCCCCTCTAGTTATGTTAAAGTGATTTCACTGTGCTGTAGAACATTGGAACTACTCCCAACTGTGTTTTGGTACCAGTTGTCCAAAATTCTTATCTCCTTTCCTTCCTGTTCTTCCTAGCCCCTAGGGACCTGTGTTATAGCCTCTACTCTGTTGACCAACTTTTTTTAGCTTCCACAATTGAGTGAGACCATGTATCACTTGTCTTTCTGTGCCTGGCTTATCTGACAATATTAGGTCTTCCAGTTCTATCCGTGTTGCTGCAAACAACAGGAGTTTGTCCTTCGCTTCATTTTTTAGGTTGTTGTTCATTTGGTTTTGGTTTTGGAGACAGAGTCCCGCTCTATGCCCTAGGTTGGTCTAGGGCTTATGTAGCTCAATCTGACCTCCTGCCTTATCCTTCTGTAAGCTGTCCTTATAGACATATGACCCCACAACTGGCTCCGAATTTTACCCTTTCATAGCAGAATAATATTCCAGTGTAATCACAAATAGGGGCTACCACATTTTAAGACTGTTCATTCATGTGTAGACATCTTGATTGATAAACCTGATTTCAGTAAGCATAGTCAGGCAGGTGTCTTTTTGATGTAATGACTTCATTTCCTTGACTTTCTACCCAGCAGAGTGATTGCTAGGTCATACGTAGTTTTAGTTTCAGTTTAATGAACCTCCACACCCTTCTCCCCATGACTGTATTTATCTACAATCCTCCTAACAGCAGGTAAGAGTTCCTCTTTCTCTGCATCCTAGACAGCATTTGTTATTTTTTGTCTCTTTAGTTATTAGAGCCATTCTAACAAGAGTAAGGTGATATCTAATTATACTTTGACCTGTACTTCCCTAGTAATTAGTGATATTTAGCTTTTTCTATTGGTTGTATATCTTAATAGATACATTTCCATTCTGAACATTTGTCCACTATTCAATTACATTGTTTTGCTGTTGGAATATTCAAGTTCCTTGTGCATTCTGGATATAACCCCCTGTCAGATGAATAGTTGGTACAGGTTTTCTCTTTACCCTGCTGAGAGATTCTGTTGCTACGTAGAATCATCTTAGTTTGATATAATCCTATTGTGGGATTTGTTTTGCACTGAAGACAAATCAGTGGCCATCATTGCTCTTGCATTTGTATATCTGTGAATAGATCTTTAACAGAGAGATTGTTGTCATCAGGCTATGTTTAAAGTTTTGGTAATCATCACTAAATTGCCACCATGTTGACAAGACTGATAATACTTCCTGTTTGTAATCACACTCACTTCAGACAGGGTTTCAAGCACACTTTCAGCAAAAACAAATTATCAGTTGTCAGAGAAACCTTTCTGCTGCAGAGTTTCTCTGCAGACCTGTTGCTAGAGGACTTGTTTTGGGAAACTTTAGAAGTTGTACACTTCAAGCTAATCCATTCAAGAAGACTCCCTCCTGCTTGTCCTCTG